GAAGGATTGCCAGAGCCCAGCAGGTCGAGGTTGCGGTGGCCAGGAGCGGCCACTGCACTCGTCTGAGTGACAGAGTGAGACTCTAACTCAAAAAAATAAAAAAATAAAAAATTTAAAAAATAAACAATGTAACTGAAAGTACAGTTTACTGAGTGAATTTTATGACATATGAATTTTTTTTTTTGGGGGGGGGTCAGAGTCTCACTCTGTCATCCAGGCTGGAGTGCAGTGGCACAATCATGGCCACTACAGCCTTGACCTGCTGGGCTCAGGCGATCCTTCTACCTCAGATTTCCAGGTAGCTGGAACTACAGGTATGCACCACCACGCCTGGCTAATTTTTCTTGATTTATTATAGAGACGAGGTCTCACCAAGCTGCTCAGGCTGGTTTCTAACTCCTAGGCTCAGGCAGTCCTCTTGTCTTGGCCTCCCAAAGTATGGAGATTACAGGCGTAAACCACCAATCTCAGCCTGAATTTTATGTTAACTAAAAAGAGTCTATTCCTAGCCCTTATCTTCAGTCTGTGGAAAAAAGAATAACAGCCCAATATGCCTGGGAAACAAATAATAAAACAAGCATAAGTGAATGGGTTAGATTTACCTGAGTGGTTTAGTCGTGGTGAGTGCTGGGGCAAGCAATCTTGTTCTTCTGTTTTCTTGATAGGATTCTTTACCTTCTCAGCTCTTTGGGCTCGCTAGAGAAAACAAAGTAACTCAAGAAAAAGTTGCCTTTAAAGCTTTATTATTGTCAAGACATATAATTTGTACCACAGCATCTTAATTTGAGAATACAATTCACTTACCTGAAGGCGGGCTAGTGTCTTGCTGTATTCTCTTTTCAAGAATGCTAATTTTTCCTTTAACTGGAAAAGAAAAACACCAACAATACTGAGCAAATAGAAAGGTGGAGTCAGCAGGAAGCAGTATAGGGCCTGTGAGACATGAGTACACAGAGCTCACTGAGGTCCCTCAGCAAGAGGCAGTGGTGTGAGGGGCACTGGCCCACACTGATCTACTTTCAGTTCTCAAAAAGCACAGGACATGGCACAAATTGTTCCTTTCACCTAGAGCATTCCCTCCTTTTGCTAATTTCTACTGATTCTACAAGCCTTATCTTAGGTAATTATTTTCCTGGAGTAGATTTCCTCCTTCACCAAATCTAGGTTAGACACTCCATTCATCCTCCATGCTTTATCACAGTATTTATCACACTGTGCTGTTTGTTTATTTCTCTGTTTCTCCCCACCATTCTGAGATCCTTGAAGGCAGCAGGAGCTGTTATCCTCAGTCATTCAATCAATGAGTCAGTCTATTTGTCAGTTAGTGGTTCTGCTATCTCTAATACCTGGAACAGTAACTGAAACCCATTCTGTGTCAGTTATTGTTTCAGAAGCTAGAGATACAGAGTGGTAAAGGCAATTTACACTCAGTGAGACATACAGATAACAAACAAGAAAACAGATAAGATGATATTATATGGTAATGGATACCTAGATAAATGAGGTGATAACTAGAGAGCTACTATCCTACTGATGGACAACTTTAGCTTGAGTAGTAAGGGAGGCATTTCTACCATTTGAGCCTAGATCTGAAGAAGGAAGGAGCTAGCTCTGGGAAGATCAGAGGGAAAGGTATCTCAGGTAGAGGGAACCACCACTGTAAAAGCTCCATGGTGGAAGGGGCTAAGTATATTTGAGGAAAACACAGAAGGCCAACGACATTAGAGCTGTCACTACTGAATTCCCAGCCAGGCACATTGTAGGCATTCAACAAAGAATTTATTAAAGAAATAAATGAAATAGCTGAGCCAAATTACTGTTCTCTAAATGTTTAGATTCTCTTTGTCCCTCTGGCTTCTGTGGTTCAAAGGATTCTCTCCGCAGCAAAGTCACTTCTGTTTTTACTGCTTTCTAGGAACCTTCTAGAGGTACTCATCCTTAGATCAATAAAGCACCAATGAAATTTCTATTCTCAGTATCTGCCTCAAAAACAAAACAAGGCCAGGCTTGGTGGCTCAGCCTGTAATCCCAGCACTTTGGGAGGCTGAGGCGAGTGGATTGCCTGAACCCGCGGGTTTGAGACCAGCCCAGGCAACTTGGTGAGACCTTGTCTCTACAACAAATCAAAAAATTAGCCGGGCGTGGTAGTGCGCGCCTGTAGTTCTGGCTACTTGGAAGGCTGCGGTGGAAGGATCGCCGGAGCCCAGCAGGTCGACACTGGGGTGGCCCTGAGTGTGTCACTGCACTCCAGCCTGGGTGACAGATTGAGACTCCAACTCAAAAAACAAACAAACAAAAACAAAACAACAACAAACTACTATGTGCAAAACATGCTGCTAGACCAGTTGTCGACTGTGTGAATTTTTCTTAATTAATTTTTCTCAGTTTCCAGAGCACTCTGTTTACCACAGCAGATTTAGTACTGAAGGAGTCACCTCTGCCCCCACTCATTCCCAATTACACAATAATGAGACTTCATCTCTACAATAAATTACAAAAACAGCTGGATCTGGTGGTGTGGCGTCTGTAGTTCCAGCTACTTGGAAGGCTGAGGCAGAAGGATTGCCTAAGTCCAGCAGGTGGAGGTTATGGTGGCTGTGAACGCGCTGCTGCACTCCAGCCCGTGTGACAAGAGTGTGACTCCAACTCAAAAAAAAAGAAAGAAAGAAAAGAAAGTAGCTGACATTTTTATAATAAGACTTGGTGGTAGGGATTTTCTAAGTCACCTCTCTATAGTAAGTCATTTAATGCAATAACCTTAATGAGCAGATTCTATTATTGTCATTCCATTTTACAGAGAAGCAAAGTGAAACACAGATTAAGCAATTTGTCCAAGATCATGCAGTTTATAAACGGCACGATTCAAACCCATGCAGTGGGGCTATCGCGTCTGTGCTCTTAAACTCTGTGCTAGCCTGCTTCCCACCAACCTTATCAATGTCTGCAAATTATCTTGTTACTTATAAATGATCTTTCTCACGCCCACTAGAATGTAAGCCAGGATAAGAACTTGGATGAGCTAATGTGAATGAAGCACAGCAAGCACTAGATACATTCAAGTTAAAAGCAGCACAACCTGGAAACAACCTACAAGTGAAGAAACGACGGCACTTTGAAACAACAGAATACAATATCAAACTTAAAAAAAGTAAGGTAGATAAACATGTCCTAACATGGATGCTAAATATAGAAAAGAAAAATGGAAGTTGCGGAACCATTAAGATCGTTTCATTTATAAACATTTCCTTCTCCAAAAAAGATGTACAGTGTTACTTTTTGGTGGTTAGGGATACATCCCTCCCTCACTACACACACACAAACACACGAAAGGATCTGGAAGTACCAGATTGTTCGAAGATTTAGTTGAGGAGGTGGGTTAGGAAAAATGAAGACGAGAGTGTGGGAGGGGGAAGAGTGTCAAAGGGAACTTTTACTGTGTCTATAACGCTTTCTATTTTGTATGTATGCACTGCTACTGTAATGAAATTGTGTTCTTTAGTCGCCACCACGTGGGCACCGCGCCAGGATTCTCCACTTTCACTCCCTGTGCCCCCTCACCCCGAGAGGAGGGTAGCTCGGAGGACAATGCTGTCCTCGGACGGTCGAGGAAACAATGCATGGTTGAAAGTGGGGTCAGAGTCCGCCCTTCCCGCACCCCCGGGCACCTTTTCCTTCTCCTCACAGCTGAGGGGCTTCCCGGGAGGCTCTTCCATCGGGCAGGCGGCCAGACGAAAAGAGCAGCAGTTGCCGGCCCTAGGCCTGCGGATACCGGGATCTAATTGACCCTAGGCCAGGGAGGCACCCAACAAGGAACAGGGGGCCTGAGATTCCCGTTAGTACGCGATCAGCTGACCCATGCTGGCCAGGCGCGCCTTAAACCCTAGCCAATTAAACCCATCACTCGGTCTGCGCACGCGCAGCCAGAGACTGCCGAGCAATGGAGTAAGGCCGCCTAGAGGAGAGCCGACCTGTCGGCGAAACCCGAGGGCGCCTGGAGCGGAAGTGGAGGAGCAGCCGGAAGCAGTCGGAATCCCAGACTGACTGACTGACCGGCTTTGACAGGGTCTGGAGCTGCGGAGAGGAGGTAGCGGCCATGGAGTTGGGCGAGCTGCTCTACAACAAGTCCGAGTACATCGAGACGGTGCGCATGTCCAGATGTCTGCCCTCCTCTTTCCAAGCCGGCATCCCTTTGGGCCTGGCCGGCGGCCCCATCCTGTCCCTGCCCCACCTACCCCAGGTCCCTTTGGCAGTTGGTCCGGGATTACACAGTGAAGCTCCGTGTGTGATCTGGATTTGCTGTTTAGTCCGTGCATGGCCTGTTTAGGCCTTTTATATTTATTCCTGATTTTCTCGTAAGGATGAAGTGCCTTCAGGACGACAGGAAAAACTCCATCCATCCTAATACAAGTTACAGCACCAGGCCCTTTTAAACTATTAAAAAAAAATTAACCTTTGTAATCTGTTAACATGCGTTTAAAAAGATTCGATTCTTTATAGTCAGTACGTGATCTGTAATAAAATGCTGAAAACAGGGCAAGTGCTCGATCAACGCTATTATTATCATTTTGTTTTTCATTCCTCATTTTAGGGCTGTAAAACCGAAGTGTGGAATTGGGACTTGAATCTACCTCTCTGTTTGATGCCATTAAGCTATAGACAAATTTTGGAATCATTCCTTGAGTCCTTAGTTTCTTAATCTGATCCCTGTTTTTGATATCCTGGACTCATTCCATTGTGAACAGCTCCCTAATTTAAATTTTTACTCTCCAATATGAACTTTCTTGGTGGAAATCTGTAGGCCAGAAACCCATTCAGTTTGCTCACCTGGGTTTTCTTTTGTTCCCTTTTAGGCATCTGGGAACAAAGTTAGTCGGCAGTCGGTGTTGTGTGGAAGCCAGAATATCGTTCTCAATGGAAAGGTAAGGGAAAAAGCCAGGATGCAAACCTTCACTTGTTTTCTACCAGTTACAACATTAGCAGGGAAGATTTAATGTTGCCATGAATCCCATTTGTTGTTGTGCATTTCCCAGTTCTCTTGCTTTTTTTTTTCTTTAAATTTTTTCTTTTTTTTTTTTTTTTTGAGTTGGAGTCTCACTCTGTCGCCCAGACTGGAGTGCAGTGGCCGCTCCCGGCTCTCAACATCTCCTCTCAAAAAGGAAAAAAGAAAAAGGGCTGGGCACAGTGGCTCACACTATAATCCCAGTACTTTGGGAGGCTGAGGCGAGAGGATTGCCTGAGTTCATGGGTTTGAAACCAGCCTGGGCAACTTGGTGAGACCTCATCTCTACAATAGATCAAAAAATTAGCCGTGCGTAGTGGTGCATGCCTGTAGTTCCAGATACTTGGAAGGCTGAGGTGGAAGGATCGCCTGAGCCCAGCAGGCAGAGGCTATGGTGGCTGTCAGCATGCCACTGCACTCCAGCCTGGGCAACAGAGTAAGACTCCAACTCAAAAAAAAAAAAGGAGGAAGAAAATACAATGGCATCTAGAACCAAAATTATTGTTTAGTATTATAGTGTACCTTAAACTACTAGACATGAAGCATAAATAGGCAAGAAAATATTTTAAGGTATAAACTAAAGTAATACTTGTAAAATCATTTGTTCAATAGTAGTTAATTCACTGTTAACTGAAACTTTTAACATAAATGTGAAAATTGGGAAAGGTATTAAAATATGAGGCAAATATGCAAAATGAAATCTACAAAAGGCTAAGAATCTTGCCTTGCCTGCAATAGCAAAGAGATGAGTATAAACCTGGAAATACTTAGAGAAAATATTACAAGATATATTTGAGCTCGACAAACAATGAAGTTCATAGTTTTTTCCTGCCATCTGGAGCATTCAAATTTTAAATTAATTTTCCTTTAAATGTTACATCTATAACTTCCAGAAGGAAAATAGTCCCACTATGACCAAGAGATCACAAATATTTTCAGTAGGAACAAGATTAGTCTCCATTAAGCCCATAATGCTATGACAGTTATTGGAAAAGAAATATAAGCTGGGTGCAGTGACTCACGCCTATAATCTCAGCACTTTTGGAGGCTGAGGTGAGAGGATTGCCTGAGTTCATGGGTTTGAGACCAGCTGGACAACATGGTGAGACCTAGTCCCTACAATAAATACATAGATACATAGATACGTAGATAACATGGTGAGACCTAGTCCCTACAATAAATTCATAGATACATAGATAAGTAGATAATATGGTGAGACCTAGTCTCTACAATAAATACATAGATAGATAGATTAGATAAAGTAGATAGATAGATAGTCAGGAGTGGTGACACTCACCTGTGGTTCCAGCTACTTGGAAAGCTGAAATGGAAGGATTGCCTGAGCCCAGCAGGGCAAGGCTGTGGTGGCAATGAGAATGCCACTGTGCTCCAGTCTGGGTGAAAGTGAGACTATGACTTAAAAAAAAAAAAAAAGAGCTGGGCTCGGTGGCTCAGCCTGTAATCCCAGTGCTTTGGGAGGCCGAGGTGAGTGGATTGCCTGAGCTCGCAGGTTCGAGACTTGCCTGGGCAACTTGGCGAGACCTCATCTCTGTAATAAATCAAAAAGTCAGCCGGGCATGGTAGTGCATGCCTGTAATTCCGGCTACTCGGAAGGCTGAGGCGGAA